GAAATTCAAACGAAGAACAACATTAAAGTACATCCAATCAATTGATTAGGTATCACAAGATAATACAAGACACAATGATGCAATCATTACGAATTATTACGAAATAACTGAATGGGTTGCTGGTTTTCATTTTATACGTGTACCTAGGTCGGAAAATCAACATGATGAACGACTTAGTTCCATAGCTGAGCAGGAGGAAAAGGCGGCATGAGGAGTGTGCAAAAACATTGAGGGAGTACTGAAGGAAACGACGAACACCCGGATCTGCGCCCACCTCTTCGATTTCGCAGTCCTTCCTGCTCTAACCTACGCCTCAGAGACTTGAACTCTGCGCAGATAGGACGAGCATGCGGTCAGCGTTATTCAATGCGCCGTCGAGTAACACTATATACGCAAGTCAACGTCCTTGTCAGTGATGACGCATAGTAAAGAAAGAATTTAACGTCAGCCTGCTTGACTCTTCTGATACATGCGCTCGGCGCTCGATTCCTCAGAGCCTCTGGCCGAGTAAGCCTGAGGTGATTCACTCGTCGGTGGAGAATATGTAAGCGGGCGACATGTCTCGTTTCGATTGCTCTGCCTCGGCTTGTTCCTTCCTGAAAATTAGGAATTGATGACGTGTATTAATGTGAAATCGTGTTACATGTGATTAGGCTAGGCAACGTAGACTTTCATTCCTCTTTCCTTTCTTTCCATGAGGTGGAATTCTTAATTTTGCTTTCAATAACACGAAAATTATTCCTTCTCTTCCTGGGGATATTGTTCTTCATGTAGCCTCGTGAGCGTTTCGTGGGTGTTTCGAGTATGGAGTTCCAGAAGTTCCATTTTGGTTAGTTCAGGGATTTTTGGATTGGTTCGAACAGTCACTCTGAGAAAAAAGCAAGTGTCAAGTGTGTATGCCTGTTTTTGTGAGGAAACACATTTTTTCAGTGCGTTTATTACAACATTTGTGGCATTATCATTGCGACAATTTAAATTTGTTTCGATTAGATCATTACTGTATGTCCTTGTCAGTTTCTTATGCGCGGATGCGCGGTTGTTCTCGTCGCCACACAACGAATGAGCTCGTCATATAAGGTTGTTAGCGCTACGAGCATAATGTGGATAGTTTGCTCATCTTGTTGCAAGCGGGCCTCGTAAATGTTCTAGCGTCCCTTCAATTCGTATTTTGATATCCTCAGTTGTTTAGCGGTATAATACTCGCCTGTCACGCGGGCAGCCCGGGTACGATTCCCGGCTGATGCACCATGTTTTAATTCAGTGGTAGTGTGCAAGGTGTTTAATGAACCGTTCATTTATTCTGTCATAACAAGACATTTAATAGAAAGAGAGGAGAGAGTGGAAAATTATTATCGTTCGTGTCTTGTCGATGTCATAGGGTAGACGTCTCATTATGAGTAGTGACTTGTCTTGTCTCCCTGTCGAGGTGGCAAGTCCGACTGGCATAATT